ATATAATTATTTGATGGTCCTAGATGAATTAGTTTATTTTAGATTTTAAATCTGTGCGCATTTTAAGTAAAACTTTCATGTAAATTATCAGTTGCCTGTGGTGCGCAATCTGCATCAAATAAAAAGGCCAGCAGAGTTCAATTGTTGATATAAACTAAAGGTGTTAGCAGTCGGCTGTTACCTCACGGTAGTAATTGGCCTTTTGTGGAGATCCACACTGAAGTCAAGCATTCACATGTGTTTTCTGTAGTCTGAAATGTTGTGTTTGCATTAGAGTAGATCTCAACGCCCCCTCAGGTGAGACTCACCAGAGCCATGAAAGATACAGCACTATTAGCATGATTAAGGCCTAAAGGCCTTAGGCCCAACAAAGAGCACAATTTGAGGGATAAAGGTGAACTGTTACTTAGGTGATTGAGAGAAATCCTCACCGCCGAGAGCTTCCTGATTTCAACTGCCAGCTCAGCTTTTTAAAAGAGGAAAAACAAAAATAGATTCAGAGAACCGTCACATGTTAACTCAATACAGCGTCATGAATTTCCATTTTAAACTCAAGCGAGACAGTGTGCAAACAAAATTGAAGTGTTTTTTAGGACTATAGGCTTTGAACTTTGGAAAAAGTGGTAAAAGTTAGACAGAATGTGAGGTTAATTTTCCTTAGCAATATTTGGTTTCTTAAAAATTAATTATATTTGTTTATTTTCAAATAAAATGTTGTAAGTTTTTACCTATTTAATGTATCATAATTGAAGTTATTTTTTAAATTAAGAATAATTAAATGTAAAAAATAATTGAAAAATTATTAATATAATAATTAATTAACTTTTTTTTTAATTTTCTGATTCACTTTTTTAAACCACAAAACAAACATTTTCAAAGTAGGACAGCTTGTTTAGCTTATTTAGATGATCTGCTTATACATGATTGGATTGTAGGACATAATATATGTTATGGAAGTAAATAAAAATATTGATAACAGAATAAAAATGTATGACATAGTATGGTGGAGAAAAAATGTCTTGTGATATCAATATATTATTGTATGTGATGTATGGTGGTGTATCATAATCTGTTCTTCTCTCCACAGGTGTGCAACTGGTTTATAAACGCCCGGCGACGACTCCTTCCCGAGATGCTCCGGAAAGACGGCAAGGACCCCAACCAGTTCACCATCTCGCGACGGGGCAGCAAGGGCGGCGAGATGCTCAGTGACAACTCCCAGTCCCCAAAACACGGTCTGCTCGCTAACGGAGAGGACCGCAGCAGCTATGAACCCGGCTCGCCTCACCCGACCAGCAACACGCCCACCTCTAACGGTTACCCCAAAAAGTCCCTGTCCCCCAAAACACCCCCCTCACCTGGACCTGTCTTACCCAGACCCTCCGTCATCTGCCACACCACCATCACCACAGCCAATCAAGGCATCGGCATGTCGACGCGCCTTGGGGTGGAGGGGGCCACGGAGCTGCCGCTCACAGATGCGGCCGGCCTGTTCGGGTGTCGCGGGGAGGGGAACGTCAGCCCCCAGAGCGGCCTGTTCAACACCCCGCCGCCCACCCCGCCCGACCTCACCCAGGACTTCAGCGGCTTCCAGTTGCTGGTTGACGTGGCGCTGAAGAGGGCTGCAGAAATGGAACTGCAGGCCAAACAGCTCCTCGCCTGAAGACAGAAAAGACGGATGGATGAATGAAAAAGCTTCATCGATGTTTGTTTCTTGCCCCCCAAAACTGAACTCCACAGGGAGTTCAAAAAAACTTGACTGAGCAACAGAAAGCAAACAAGCATGGCCTGATCATTTCTATTTTTGGTAAATGTAAATCAAATTGATGAGGATTCCTTTATGTAAAGCATTTCAAGGTGCCTTGGCAAGTCAGTTCTTTCTTTTGTATTCCATTTATATGTAAATAAATATGTATCTTTTCGTTTTGTACACAGGGGACCAAAACCAAACACAGTAATACGACTTCCTGTCTTTCCTTATTTTTACAAGAAGGCAAGCTCTTCTCCCATTCCTCATGAGTCTTTTTTTCTCGTTTTCAGAGATTCGGCTCAATGATAGTGGATTTTTGCCTCATTTTTAGTGAACACGTCTGATATTCTGCCTCGTTTTTTTTTTTTTTTGCACAAAATGGCAGGTCATCTCAGTATCTTATCAACTCTAGTTTTCTCTCCGACAGACTCTAATCACTACTGCACCAGGTCATTCTGTGTCTCATAGATGTTCAGTTTTTTGTATCGCTTTTTTGTTGTAAAGTTTCTGATGCTGTTAGTACGTTTCTTTTTTACCTTTCATTACTCTTGAGGGATATTCAGATGTAGCAGAACTACAGTCTGAGATTTCCTCTGAATGCTCAGTGTAGAAACGGCCAGTGAATGTGCCCACATACTCCCCACCCCTGCCCTAAACACACACACACACCTTGGACAAATGAGCTGGAAGAATGAACACTAATTGTATTGTTTTTTTTGGTTTATCAAGTTGAGACCACTTTCAGAGGATGAAAGGAAAGAATGGTTTTATGTCACCAAATATGTTGATTTCAAGGTTTGGGACCTTAGACCAGTGCATTTACAGTAGCCAATGTGACATGATGCCCAATGATGTGACTTCTCCTCCTTACTGTGCAATGTATGTGGCAAATAGGGGTCACACGGTGTTTAAATAAAGTTTTGTTTTCTACAAAATGGGCGCTCATCTCCTTTCTTCAGCTTATTTTTAACTACATTGTTCGATAAGTGTGTTCGTAGTAAGGTTCTTACATTCAAGGTTGTTTTTACCTCTAAACAAAGAGTAGCATGGGAAAGCTTAGCCTTAAAATGACAGTTCTTTCTAGTAGTGTTTGAAAAATGACATGTAAGGCCTGCCTGACAGAATAGGTGGATTGCTTTCATAAAGCGGAAGGCAGCATGAGCAGGTACATCCAAATGAGGTGATCTATACCGATTCACCACTGCCCTGCCTTGACATCTCACACCTATTAAAAGCAAGTTCCTACAGGCTATTGCTAAATCATACTGACATTCTTCTGTGTGCAAGCTTCACAAGAACGCAATTAGCATAATCCAGCATTTAATTAGCGGTAGCTAAAACCAGACGTCAATGATGGCTTGCCAATGGCGTCTGTGAGAGTGTGCAGGTCTTGTGTATCTGAGCACAGACAATAAAGACGGATTAGCAGGGACACGTCTGTTCTGGATATTCAATCACACTCGGTTAGACAGCTGTTCTTTACTTTAGACTTCTCACTGGGCCGCGATCCAAACAAACAACTCAAAGGGTCATTGGTCTATCTGACAACTAATGCTCAGAGTGATTAGCAGCTCAAAGCAGTTAATTAACCCAACACCTATATTTAAAAAGACATTACATACTGAAGACTTTTGGATGGAATGGATGTCTCTCACACATTAGATGTTGTCTGGGTTCATCTGTTGGAGATGCCTGAAGGTGTCTATTAATAAGAGTCAAAGACCTGTTCTCCTACTCAGGCCTCAGGCAGTGATTTAAAACTATGAAGCCTAGTTAACAGTAGGAAAGTATGTAAAAGGTAATAGGATGTTTAAAACCAGAAAGATTGTGAGATATAAAGTAAAAAACTGTGAGAATAAAAGATATGCAAGTCACCATTAGGCTACATATCACAATTATGAGACAAAGACAAAAAAAAGTTTAAAATTGTGAGTCAACTTGTTGCAATTACAAGAAATAAAGACAATTATATCAATGTCACAGTTGTGAGCTATGTATCTATTATGAGAAATAAGATCACAGCTGATTTTATCATTGTGAGATGTCACAACAATGGGAAATAAAGTTGCAATTACAAAAAAAATCAAGATGTAGTTATGTGAAATTGTTGCAACTGTGAGATAAAAAGCCAAATTGTGAGAATCAGAACTATGAGAAATAGTTGCAATTGTGTCAAATAAAGTTTCAATTACAAGAGTCGCAATTACTTGAAATAATGGAAATTATGAGAAAACTGTCACAAGTATATATAATATGAGAAATAAAATCACAGCTGTGATATATAAAGCTGTACTTGTGAGATGTCACATAAGTGAAAAATCTGCAATTACATGAAAGTCATAATTGTGAGAGTCATAATTTTAAGATATGTTGCAACACTTACAAAAAGTTTTTGAGAAATATAAACAGTTGTGAGATATAACTGGGTTTCAATTGGGAGAAATAAAGTCGCAGTTATGAGAAATAAAGACAATTATGACAAACAAAGTTACAACTCTGAGATAAATGTCTCAATTATGAGAGATTAAAATGCCATTTTTGGGACTTTTATAATTGCGAGATGTCGCAACATTGACAATTAAAGTCACAATTCTGAGAAATAAAGACAATTACAAAAGATATAGTCACAGTTGTAAGATACAAAGTTGCAATTATGAGGAAAAAAGTAGGAAATGTATAAACGGGCTTCTATGTAAAACATTCATTCATTCATTCATTCAGGATAGAACAAACATTTATTTGGAAATGAATCACTCCATGGCTGTGAGCATCTGTAATGTTTTAATGATCAAAATTTCACACGTGCCATAACATCAACAGTGTTGTTACAATAAATACAAAATGTAAGTAGTAAGATATCCTTAGATGTAGGTTACATTTACAATGAAGAACATTCATGTATTTACACACAGTCATTTTGATCAAGTTTATGCTTTTACTAGAACAGTAAATACATAATATCCTGTCTTCATTTCCCAAAACATTGTGGTGGGTGCACAGTCCACATTTTGGCAACAATACGCAGTCTAATCTTCTATTTTGGGAGATAAAACCCTAAAAAAGTCAGGACTTATCATGTTGCCAGATATAAACTGATATTTTCACATCAGTGAATGACAACGGTTAAGAAAATGAGATTGTGATCACTTTCTGCAAAAACGTAAGTGCTACATAGTCTCTCAAAATATCTCTCTATGTCTCATAAATATCTTTTTAAATACTAAAAATGAAATGTAATCAATTAATATTTCAATAAACATTTCAGTATTTTATTTATATCATTTTTTTACAAATAAAATATGGATTTCCTTTGTGTTAATCACTGATTGTCCAAAACAAGACAAATTTATTCCTAATTTTGGTGTAAATTTGGACTGTAAATGCCATGAAATACTACTGGACACATTGATACAGAAATATCAATATGAATGGCTATTTTGTCATCAATATTGAATGCTTTAATTGGTACTGTAACATCTCCAGTATAAGACCTGTTCATGATATACACATACACAAACATACACACGCACATTCATACACACGTTATATAGTCTCCCCTGAGGCTACGTTGTGCATGACTATCATATATTCATAAATTAAGGCCGAGCGTTTAAACATCAATAATATTTCAAACAAACATTAACCACAGTAGAAGGGCTCTAGTGCATAATAACTGGAACTAAGAGTTTAGTTAATAAGATAAACACCTACAGGATCAAACTAAAGCCAATGCAACCGAACTGTCTATGAAAAAAGAGAATGGCTGCACATTGGCTGCTGGGAAATTAATATCAATATATATATATTTATAGTGATGTGTCTATCCACAGTGAAATATTCTGAGAAAGAAAAAAGAAATAGCTCTGTTTATTTAACATATTTAACAAGTGCAAACTAGTATTATCAGTTATTGAAAAATATGAGACAGTGCAGTTAGGTTTTGACTAGTATCGAGTAACCTGTCAGTGCAACTATGATGCAGCGCTGTTTACAAATCAATTACATGAGCAGCACAAGAGTGTAATTCAATGGTTAAAGTAGGTTTCCTTAAATAGAAATAATAAACTGATGTTATGTGCTCTGCATTGATACATGTGTTTACTTGCACTGTCTCTGCAGGGTTGCTGAAAGTATACACACCTTTGTATAAATAAAAACAAAAGAAATTAGCTGATCTATATTACAAAGTATCAACTGTGCTACATATCGGTTGGACAAAAGAGAGATGCCTTCAGGTCAATTAGGAAGCACTTGGGTACATGCACTTGATGTGGAAAACACACACACACTTGACTGACTTGGCCTATCATGCTTGTGATTATAAATACAATGAATAAATTACTCAGCAAAATGTGAGTTTTTAACTAAAATGTGTATGTATTACATTTATCGAGCTGTGACATTGCAGTTGTATTATTTAAAATGATACTTTAAGCATTATTGAAAGTCATAAGCAATGGTAAAGAGGAAAATGATGGTCTGCAAGTTTAAATGTGTTTATTCGGGTCTTAAATATCTCTACAACTCCATTATAAAATACTGATATTTTACTTTATATTCATTTATACAAACATTTAGACAAATATAGGGAGGAGCTATTTAAGTAAGCAGTCGGGAAGGAGTTTTATAATTAGAATATATTTACAAAATATGCTAAATAATGTGCATTTTTTTAAAAAGAATCTTATGCCAAGTTCAAGAAAATGTCCTAAAAGGGCACGATGTGATGAGTTTACTGCCAAGATCATTTGCCCATACTGAAGGAGAAACTGCTGAGTGACATAACATTATCACAGCCAATCAGATGTTTAATGTTTAGTTATGAAGAGCAGAATAAACCAATGAGATTTCACAGTGGGCGGAGCTATTTAATGCCATAGAATTAGAAAATGACCTGTCTTGTTGTGGCCGTTCACATTGACAGCAATTTTATTTGAAGTTAAATAAGCCATAAAGTTCAAATATAGTTGTGAGGTATAAAGATATAGTCACGATGTGAGAAATAAAGCCGCAATTGAGAAATAAAGTTGCATTTTTTGACATAAGTTTGTAATTACGTTCAGCCACAGTTATGAGAAATAAAATCTCTCCTGATATATAGGGTCACAACTGTGATATATTTATTATGAGAGTAAAAGTAATAAAACCACAATTACGATATAAACTCAAAATTATCACTTAAAATTGAAAAAGCATTAAGTCACAATTACGAGAAAAAAATCTCTTGTGATATACAGAATCACAACTGAGGTATTCTAATAATGCGACTTATATAAAAGATATAAAAACCTAATTGCGAAAAATAAAGTCACAATTACGATATAAAATCACAATTATCACCTAAAATTCAACTATCACCACCGCAATTATATGAAGTAAAGTCTCAATTAAGAGATAGGCCTATACAATATATCGTGATATATGGTCACAATTGTACTACATTGTGTGACTATGACACATGAAAACACAATTGCGAGAAACAGTCACGATTATGTTATCACAATTAACATCTAAAACCACAATTACATTACGTAAAATCATAATTATGAGAAATAAAATCTCTTGTGATATACTGTTTGAATGTTAAATGTAATTGTGATAGTTATAATAACGATATAAAGTCGCAATTAACCTAAATTATAATTACTACGTGAAGTCACAACAATCACAATTATGAAATAAAAATTCACAATCCACAAAGCCACAATTGTGGGTCACAATTTTGGCTTTATAGACTGTGAATATTTATTTCATAATTGTGATTGTTTTGACTTAGTCGCAACCAAAAGGAATAAAGCAGCAATTCATTGGATATGGCCACATTGCACCACCTTGTTCATGTCACTGAAATCTTTGACAAATAAAGACTTTGCATCACTTCATCGCTGTCAGTGTGAACGGGGCTTAATGCTGAATGAAATCCCTGACTGCCTGTATGTAACGTTTCATAACGTGACACATTGCTAATTTATGAATGGCTAATGAATCAGAGCCGTGAAGAGTGGCGTGTTCTGACAGCGCTTCTGTCAATGACGTGAACACGTTAAGCGCTGACAGATAAAAGTGTCACACTTGATAGATATGATGGACATCTATGTCCAGTGGTTCTGCTGAGGGGAGATGATAGTGAGTAAACAGGAAAGGAGATAGGATGGTTTGAGAGGACGGGAGAGGATGACCGAGTGGGAGGTTGAAAAATATGAGAAGAAAGAAGAGAAGAGGTGGTTTTTCCATTCTATCCCCCGATACTGAAAACAGAACAACCTCGCCCTGTCTCAGAGGTGCAGGGTGACAAGTGAGAGAGTGTAATACATGCACTAAAAGCCTGACACACACATTTACATACATACACTGAATTTGTGGCTACATTGGCATTAAAATCTTCAGAAGTGATCGGTATGTTGCCCTTTTAGAAGTTATGTCCTCTTTGAGAACACAAGACATGGCTCTTACACGGTAACTGCAAAAAACTACAAATGACATAATAAAATTCAGCAGTGTGCATTATTTGGGTAGTAATATCAACAGACATAATAATATGTTGTATTTTAGGCATGAGTCTATATATATATATTATTGGTTATTTTAACAATATAGAGTGTCCAATAGAAATATTAAAAGTCTTTGGGAGTTTAACATGGGAGCTACATCGCAAATGGCAGGACGGAGGAAGAGAGTAAAATTAAGTCGTAAATACATACAGTAGAAGCCCACAGTGAAGAAACTCTCCTTTACACAAGAAAAGAGGAGTGATTATGTTACAGCTACCCTACCTTTGTCATTCAGTGCTATTGTGTTTTGGTTGAAGATGTGTGTGTGTGTGTGTGTGTGTCTATTTAGGCTTCTTAGCACCCGGATTTCAGTGTTTATAATCGAGTTTGGGCCTCTGGGATGTATATTTCGATGCTGTCGGCGCATTCTGTGGCAGAGCTCTGGCGCTGAGAGGCAGCAGCGCGTTTAGCCGCTAAGAGCCGCTTACGGGCCTCCAACCGCTGGGAGCCCTCCAAAGACCGGTCTCTCATTAGCAGCACGGGACCTTTCCCCGGCTTCCTGGGTACTGGAGGGGGCACGCGCCTCTCCTGGACAGCAACGACAAACTGGTTAGTGCCACTCCTCGACTTAACACAACACTGTTAATGCATGCAATTGTGGGGTCATCTGTTGGGTCACCGGCAATATTTAGTTGTGTTTGAGTGCCAGGCATCAGCCAAATACATTAAGTGATCCATTTTTGCCAGCTAAGAGTTCAACCCATTTGGTATGAGGTGAACGGGACCACTGGATGTAAAGCACATGCAGCGTGCAATTTGGGAGCATCGCCTCAAAACCAGATCACTGTCAAACAAAGAACACATAAAATAATAAGAAAATGAGCAAAACAAATCAGATCAAAGCATAACACATGCAACATTCATGAATAAAATAACATTAAAATAAAATATTAAATAATGAAGCAATAGACCTTAGAGTCAGAGGTCACGCCATATTTAACTGAATGTAAATACAGGAAACTGTCTGTTTAATACATTTGTGCTGAAATTTTGAATAATTTGCTGGTTGTTCTTTTCCATGCAACTCCTATAAATAGGAACTGGATCTGTGGAGCTTCAAAAAGGACACAAAAGCACCATAAAAGCATTGTTAAAGTTGTCCATGTGACTTGACATCTGTCCTAGCACTCCTTGGCTTGTTCATAAGAATTTATGAGAGAAGTAGATATGTCTGATTCACTAACAAATTATTCTTTTGATTCGTTTGAATGATTATTTGGTTTAGCTTACACAATTTTTAAGACATAAACCAGTTCACAACAGTGATCCGAATGATTAGGTGACAAATTGGACTGATTAGATTCTCAACTCAGTGGCTCAATTTCTGATGGCAGCAGTTAACAACTGATATAATGACCCTGATTTTGATTTTTACCTCACACAAAGCTATCATATGACTTTAGAAGACCAGGAACATAATGCACAAGTCATATGGACTACTTTTATAATGCTTACGTGCTGTGTTTGTGCCCTTCTTTGTGCCCTTGAAGGCCTCAGGCTTCATTCATATGTGATGAAAGAGCAAACTGTACAATTAGTCGAAACAGTTAATTTTTAAGGGAAAAATATACCAGTTTGGAACAATGACAGAATTTAAATTTGGGGGAACTGTTCAATACAGAATGGCATATTGAACAGAATACTCTTCCACCCCTCACAGTCTTGTTTTTGTTTGCATTAAATCATATGACATCTACTCTGACATACATATATCGAACAGTTACAATACACCAATCATTTATCTTAAGCATGCCAACGAAATGGCACTGCACTGTATTTATACTGCGTTGCAAATTAACATGTGTCAACTGTGGTATTCTTAGCCATTTTTATAGAGTGTGTAATGCATCTGGATTTGTGATGTAAAATCTGTACCTTTCTCTCAGGAGGCTCCAGTGCTTTCCAGTTGTTAGCTTTCAGCTGGTGTAGCTCATCAAACTTCAGGCTGATGTTCTCAATGGACAGCTGCAGCATGTCCCAGAATCCTGCCAGATCTTGAGACACGGGCCGTGGGTGGGCATTGGGATTCTGACAGCCAGAGAACAGATTATACACAAAACATCTGTTAATTTGAAAGAAAAAAAAAAGACATAATATCTAATTGGGTAATACTGATTTAATACTGCTCAGGCTAACATTGCCATTCGAGGGCGGAGCTACCAAGTGCAGCTCTGCTCTGATTGGCTAATGGATGTGTGCCCCATACATACCAAGTTTTCTTCACAGAGCTCCCGGAACTGCTGAAATTTCTGCGACATCAGCAACTGCGCACTACCCACCGCACTACGAATCTTGCCGAGAACTAAACACAGACAAAAAGAATAGAAAATCAGCTGTGGAAAACAAGTTTAGTAAAAGAAAACTGGATTAAGTAGCTTGAAAAGTTGATGAGAGCACAGTATGAGAGATTCTACGTAGTAACACATTAGTGAATGTGTGTGTGTGTGTGTCGCAAAGGCTTAGACACTCGGTTAATGTTTAAATGATCTTTCTTTGAAGTGAGAAAGGGTCATACATATCTAAGGCTTGGGAACCCAAATGCAGGAACCAGAGGAGCAGGCGGAGTGTTTACCATACACACCAAACAAACACCCGCCAAAGCCAACGAGCTAAGACACTCACACACACACATACAGATCAAGAATGTGATGTAAAAAGATAGATTAAAAGTGAAAAAGAGTAAACAGCATATCAGATTGCCAAACAGAGGTGAATTATCTAATGAAATAAAGCTAATGTTTGTCATGCGGGGGTCATATAAAGGCTTTTGCTGTGGCCTGAGGAGTGACTGCAGCGTGTCTCTGTGGATTGGAGCCATGAGGCAGTTTAAACAGAGATCCGACGAAATGAACTCGCTCTGTTTAACATATGCAGCAGCAAGAGACCATATGGCAAACAATGTGCTGTCATCGGACAGATTAGCATATTTTATGTATTCAGGGAAAGAGGGAAGGGTTAGAGAAGAGAGAGAGTGGAAGGAGACAGATATAGAAACAGTGAGAGGAAAAAGAAAATATACAGAGAAAGAGGGAGCTAAAGAAACGAGGGAGACGGGTGGCTCCCTGCTGGTAGAAATGTCTGGTATGTGAGAGGGAGACAGACAGGAGATAGATGAACAAGCAGGCTTTGTGACTGACACGAAGATGGTCACTGCGCCGTGTGTGTGGGTGTGTGGGTGTGTGTGCTTGAGCAAGGAAAAGGCGGGAAGTGGGATAAAACGAAAGAGTCCGGCCGGAGGTAACCAGACTGTGAAATGACCTTGTGCACTGGTAGTTTTGTTAAAGTGGCTGATTATTCTCCAAATGACTTAGACACAGTCTGTACAAATGTCACTCTAGTTTTGCAACAAAATGACTACTTGACTTTAAAATAACATTGTGGAATTAGAAAATTCAATGATTTAGCTACAAAAGCCATTTTGCTAAAATTACTTTCCTGTGTAGTGTAGAATAACTCTAAAATTGTGAGCTGCCCACCTAGAAAGAATTTATCAAAGATGCATTTGGAATGTTAAAACCAAACATGCAAATCTCCCAAAAAAGTGATATTGAATGGAAAATTCCAGAAATGTAATGCTGTTGAAATTAGCCTATAATGACCCAAAATGCTGTTGAACCGAATGATCAAAATGATTCTACAGTGACCCAAAATGCAGTTGAAACGAACATTCTAATGCCTAAAAATGCAGTTAAATAGAATATTCTAATCAAGTCTTCATTTACCCTAAATGCAGTTGAATCTAACATTTTAAACGAGACCATAATGCCCAAAACATTGTTGAATCAAACAATCTAAATTAGTCTTCAATGAGCAAAAAATGCTGTTGAACCGAACATCCAAAATACTTTTACACTGAACCAAAATACAGTTGAACATTCTAATGCCCAAAAATGCAGTTAAATCAAACAATTTAAATAAGTCTATAATGCCCAAAATATTGTTGAATCGAACAATCTAAATAAGTCTTCAATGATCCTATCTAACCTAACGTTTAAAATTATTCTACAGTGACCCAAAATGCAGTTGAATCGCACATTCTAATGCTCAAAAATGCAGTTAAATCAAATATATATGTCTTTAATGATCCAAATGAACATTGAATCGAACATTCTGAATGAGTCTATAATACCCAAAATGTTGTTGAATCGAACAATCTAAATGAGTGTATAGTCTACAGTGACCCATCGAAACTTCCACAACATCTATAATGAATGCCTAATAATGTTGTTTAGATAGGCAGCCTACTACTTTTTTGATAGTCATTATCTCAGAGTCACTCACTGTCTTCTGGGAGCTCATTCTTTCTCTCATCTTGTTCCATCTGTTTGCACCACCCCTCCATCCTCTCCACCTCTGCTTGCAGCAGTTTCAGAAACCAGCGTCCGTCCTGCGGACACACGGACCCTGACACCCCACTCGCATATGCCTCCTCCATGGCTCCATCCATCCAGGGGTCTGGAGGGGGCAGAATGGAGGGGTCAAAGTCCACGTCGGTGTAGTCATCTTGGACACAGGCATGGTAGTGGTTCCCAGAGCCCTGGATGCTGACAGTAGAAGTGGATGAATCTCGGGATGGCTGGCGGACAATGGGCCCCTGGTGGGTCTGTGTGAACTGGTCATCGCCAAGACCCTCCAGAAGATCAAGATCAGCTTGAACGGCAGTGGTGACGCTGTTGGAGCGTGTAACTCTGCGATAGCTGGAAAGAAAAGATTAACCATGTTGTATAGTTTGTGTTCAAACTGTTGATCAAAATATGGTGAGAAAAAATAACACCGTTTTTATGGACAATTTCATTAAGTCTCTTAGGTTCACCAAGGCTGCATTTATTTGATTAAATATGCAGTAAAAACAGTAAAATTGTCAGATGTTATTACAATAGAAAATAATTTTCAATTAAAAAAAATGTAAATGTAATTTATTCCTGTGATGGTAAAACTGAATTTTCTCAAGATCAGCTTGAACGGCAGTGGTGACGCTGTTGGAGCGTGTAACTCTGCGATAGCTGGAAAGAAAAGATTAACCATGTTGTATAGTTTGTGTTCAAACTGTTGACCACAATATGGTGAGAAAAAATAACACAGTTTTTATGGACAATTTCATTAAGTCTCTTAGGTTCACCAAGGCTGCATTTATTTGATTAAATATGCAGTAAAAACAGTAAAATTGTCAGATGTTATTACAATAGAAAATTATTTTCAATTTAAAAATATCTTTGATTAATAGAAAGTTAATTTAAAGGATAAAACATTTATTTGAAATATAAATATTTTGTAACTATGTTTTTAGTGTCCCTTTCAATCATTTAATGCAGGGGTGCCCAAACTCGGTCCTGGAGGGCCAGTGTCCTGCAGAGTTTAGCTCCAACTTGCCTCAACACACCTGCCTTCAAGTTTCTAGTATGCCTAGTAAAAGCTTGATTAGCTGGTTCAGGTGTGTTTAATTGGGGTTGGAACAAAACTCTTCAGGACAACGGCCCTCCAGGACCGAGTTTGGGCACCCCTAATTTAATGCATCTAATGCTATTCTCTATTATCAAAAATGTCAAAATGAATGGAATGTCTATTTACACTAAGTGCAAATAGCCCGCCTTGTTAGCAGATGCTATTTACACTAACTCCGCCTACCAACGTGTGGTTGGGCTACACAACATTTACAAAAGATGCCTGTCAAGCAACAGCAGCAGTAAGTAAGGTGCATGGCAGTAACTTTTGACGTAACCGCGATCGGCCAAAGTTCGAATCTGTCTTTTGCCGAACTCATTCTTCTCCCATTTCCCATTACATATCAGATTGGAAAAGCATTTATTTTCAATAAAAATGAAGGGAAAATTTGAAAAGTGGAAATAAAGTGCCTTACGGGTATTTAATTATGAAATGTAAATCGTGTAGGTTTAGGGGTAGGTGTATTGAGAGCTTTATTGTCCCAATAAGGTGGCATCTATTTAATAATTTTATTAAAAATGATAATTTACACTCTATATGTTATTATTTAATTACTACAATACTGAGGTGCAAATATCTGCCACTATTTGCGCTAAGTAGCATCTACTATTTTACACATAGCACAAAGAAAATACTATTTTTATATACTGTGAATAGAATCTATCCGTATTTGCAATTAGTGTAAATAGCATATCACTAAAAAATACTGCTATTTTCACTTTGTGTAAATAGAACCTATTGCTATTTCCACTTAGTGTAAATAGCATCTATGGCATTTAGTGCAAATAGCCACTGCCAAAAATTAAATCATTAAGAAATGTAATAAAAAAATAAAACATACTGTAGCCAAAAATTCCATTAAAATGAAGTATAAATATGCCTATGATGCTTAAAAATTCTGTGAAATGAAATGTTACCAATGCCCCATAATGTTGAAAAAGCTGTAAAAACTAACACTTCAAATACTTAAGATTTAAAAAAATAAGTAAATAAATACAGTAACTGGCTTGTAATTTTCTGTTAAAACGTCCTTCTAGGTAACTGTAGACCATGATATCAAATACAAGTGTAACAAACACAAAGACTCACACACCTGTAGGAATAGAGAGGGATAACATATCAAAGCAATCTGGCTTAGATCAGCTACTCTGTGTTTGCCTGGTGTGTGTGTGTGTGTGTGTATTGGAGATGTAGGACACCTGCTCTATTCAGGTGCACTGAAGCACACTGACATCTCTCACCATACCCTGAGTGTGTGTCGACTGTGTGTGTCTGTGCATCTGAGCATTTTAATTTTGGCTTATTAGAAGGCACAACACAAAGAATGATAGCACATACAGGCCATAAATTGTGAGGATTTTTTTTTTCTTTCTTCATTTTTTCATGAACTGAACAATCATTATTTTCACCCATCCTTCCAATAATCTGTGTCTGTTCTCCTTCACAACATACTGAGTTCTGATATCTTTTTTTAACCATTTGTTTCCTATTAAAGACCATTTTGGATTGTTGGTGTGTGTGTGTGTGTGTCAGAGAGGCCTGTTTCATATCAGTTAACTACTTCCTGTAGAGAGGAAGAGAGACAAATAAAGGGCACAAGGGAAAGAGAGAGAGAGAAGAGAGAGTATTCATTTCTTGTTCCGCTCACATGGTAGTAATCATTGCCTTCTGTAAATCATATCATAAGAAAGAGTTTGTGTGCGTGTATGTGGTTCTCGTGTTCATACACTCTAAAAAATGCTGGGTTGTTTCAACCCAATGTTGGGTCAAATATGGACTAACCCAACCAGCAAAAGGACCAGCATAAACCAGCAAAGGACCAGCATAAACCAGCAAAGGACCAGCAAAGGACCAGCTTAAACCAGCATCCCAGCGTCAAAACATACCTAACCAGCATATGCTGGTTTTTTCAACAGGGTAGCTTTATTATGTTGTTTATCTTACATATCAAAATACACACCTATCTATCTATCTATCTATCTATCTATCTATCTATCTATCTATCTATCTATCTATCTATCTATCTATCTATCTATCTATCTATCTATCTATCTATCTACCTATCTAGACAAGTATTGGAGCTCAACAGTTTGCCAGTACCACATATGTCTTTGTACCTGCTATAGTGCACCTCCCCAGAGCAAAAGAAGCTAGACGTGATTGGTTTGGGGCTCATTCCTTAATTTCCTTCGTTCCTAACGCACTAAGGAGGAGGAAAAGAGTCTATGACGTGCTAAAGGAGTCTCTACACAGAGTTCAAAGGCACTGACTTCAGCAGGAAACAAGAGCAGACCTGTACTAGGAGAGCCGTGTGTGTGTGTGCCAGTGTTTTACAGCTGTATTCCCTCTCAGTTACAAAGGCATGCTTCAGCAAAGTCCAAATACCGGCGACCTGTGTGTGTGTGTGTTGTGTGTCCCTCTCTCACTGTCTAGGAATCTGCTGCCCTCAACTCCTCAATGCTGGCAGCTACCAGTCCAAACCTTATATACATGTGTACACATACACATATTGTTTCAATTTCAAAACCTAGTAAGCTCCTATATAGGCAGCTCCCTACTAAGACAGCATCTTAAACATAATCTGTATCAATCTACATAAGCAGAGACTGATGTTAGCATGTTGCTAAACTACCAACACAATACTCTAATATGATAGTAAACAATCCAGTTTTAAACTGAAGTATTTTAATACTTAGCAGTATTGAATAAAATAACCCTGATAGCACACGTACATCACGGAGACGTCTATTTGATGTCTGCATTTAGATCTGCAAGATGTATTTTTTAGTTTGTCCATCTGCAATAGGTCTTTAAGACGTTTTCTATCAGATGTCAAATAGACATTCTAAAGTCTAAAATCTTAAAGACATTTATCAGATGTTTGTACACAGCAGATGCTTTACAGATGAAGTGATCTTTAACAGACATATTGCAGATGTGCGTGTGCTATCTGGGAACATTATAACCAACATTTTGATGTTAGCATATTGCTAAGTTAAAAACACAAATAGTCTAAAAAGCCAAAAAATACATAGTATACATAGATACTGGGTAAAATAGTATATGTGACCCTGGACATGGAACCAGTCATAAAATGAAGTTTTTATATATTTACAGTAGGAAATTTACAAAATATCTTCATGCAACATGATCTTTACTTAATATCCTAATGATTTTTGGCATAAAAGAAAAATAGATAATTTTGACCCATTTGTAGCTATTGCTACAAATATACTCATACTTAAGACTGGTTTTGTGGTCCAGGGTCACATACTGTATGTTAAATACTCTATTTCTTATACATTTCAGTATTGAATGAATTATATTTACAATGTTTCAGCATTAGCATATTGCTAAGCCAATCACACAATACTCTAAACACTCTACAAAGCATAAAAATGCATAGCACACATAAGTATTTGGTATAGTCTATATTAAACAAAATGTTTATACATTTCAGTACTTAATGAAATATATTTATAACTAATACTGTGATGTCAGCATGTTGCTAATCTAACTGTAATTTTCAGTGTATAATATAATATAATAAAAATAGTATTTTTTTGCATAGGTATTTTTAATTCCTTTTTGTACTGAATGTAAAACACTCAGAAACAACACCAAATTACTTTTTTTTTCAATACATAATGCATTATTTATGGATTCTGTTGGTTATGAAGGATATCAAGGTATACCAGTGTTGGAAGCATGTCTTAAAATACTGCCTCCATAGACAGTTCACTTGGATTTGGAACAGGACAACTGACTCTAAACATATCCAACCTTCTATAAAACAACTGTTTATACACAGTATGTGTGTGTGAGTGTAACATATTTGCTCTGGAATTTGATCTGTACTCTTGAGCAGCACTTTGGCTACAAGACAGTGATTTAACAATGCTTCGGCTGGACCTATAGCAGAACTTTAAGGGAAACACACAGAGACTGAACATCTAGCGGCCTCTACCTCCTCCTGTCGTTATGTCCCTCCCTCTCACAGGATGCTAAAACAGTGACATCTGAGGGTGTGCGAGTCAGAGAAAGCAAAAGAAAGCAAGAGCGAGAGATAAGTGAGACAGGGGGTCGATACATGACCATGTCTGTGACCCAGCAGCCTGCCTGCTTCATAATGGGCACAGCAACAGATGGCCGTGCACGCACACACAGACACACCCGCTTACACACACAGAGCAGCTGTCTCTCTGCCTCCCACTCCTTTACCCTTTCAGGAGGCCCCAATGCCCAAACCACCATGATAGGGACAGCTGTGTGTGTGAAATAGAGACAGAGAATGGGAGGGTCTTTGTCACAGGAGCATGTGCTTGAAATTACAACTTTCTTTTCTCTCTCCTATTACACCTTCCATTCTTCCACTTTTATAATCACTATCCTCAAATCTGTAATGTTTTAAGTGACTTTATCTTATCTGAATGAGCACATGTTGGGAGTTAAAGGATGGAGAGATGTAATGGAATATGCTGTGTGTGAGAGAGAGTGAGTGGGTGTAGATAAACTTACCATCTCTCCTCCTCTACTTGAATGCCGACCGACTGAAACTTGCAGAGCACTTCTGATTGGTTGGTTTCCTCAGGACCGTCCACCTAAACAAACACAGACAAACGCGCATTCAATATGGAGTCTGGGTGTCAGAAGTAAATTTTGAATTATTCTTGTCAGATTTGCTGCTGCAAATGTGCTTGTCTTGGCCTATCTAATTTGTCAGTAGATATTTTAGTATTAAATGATGTAGATGTAAAATGTGCAAATTGTACACTACATTGATGCATACTTAGGCTAATAATCAGAGAATAATGTTAGGGGCTGTGCCCCTAAAAACCTAGGATGCTACCTATCTAGACAGCATCACAGTGTATACTATATAGATGCTATAAAGTTGTTGTTAATAGTTGTGTCTCAAAACTCAATGTACTTAGAAAGCATTTCTGGGCATCATAGCATGTAATGTATTGAAGCACACACAAAAATCAGAGAATATACTATAGATAATGGCTGTGTTCTAAAACCCAATATGCTGTCTACCTAAATGATAGCATATTTGGGCATCATAGTGCATACTACATGTATGCCTACTTAATAATCAGAGAATATACCATTAATAATGGCTGTCTCTCAAAACAACAGCATTTTTGGGCATAGTGTACACAATCTTAGCGCATACTTAATGATCACAGTAGGCCTAGATTCTATAAAAAATGCTCAGCTGAATTTGGAATTGCATACTGGGATACTAATGTTACTATTTTTGCCATATCTTTATATTGCAGAAATAATAAGAGTAGTGTACTAGTATGTTGTTCTGAAGGTTCTGAGACACAGTCTATTTTTCCATAAATATGAGTAGATGAATGTTTACTTATTTTTTGTAAATTGATTGAATCCTGTATTGAATTACACATATAATTCTCTGTTTCTTGTTTTCTATGTAAGTTTGGTTTGGCTTATACAATCTGTAACCCTACAGGCAACACAGATGTGCGTGTGTGTGAGTGTGTGTGGCCAACCTGTATCCCTATAGACAGGCACTTCCTGAGGGCATCTCTCTTAGCTTCCTGTGAGATGTGTCTTACGCTAGTGGTGGCGGAGGCTGTGGTGATGGTAATGGTGCTGTTGGTCACATGCTGGCTGGCTGGGCCGTGGACTTGAGCGTTCGCTGCCTCGATGGCTGCTGTCAGGGCCTTCATGCTATCAATGCTCTCTGTGGAGTTGCTGAGGCCCGACTGGACTGCTGCTAAGGCCCGGTTAGCAGGACCAGCACTGGTGAGCTCATTGTAGGCATCTTGTGCAGATTCTGTGCTGCTCTGGGCTGTTATAGAGATGTATGGTCTGGTGGGTGTTGACCTGGGCGGGACTGGGGGTGGGGTTTTTTTGTAGGTGGTTATACATGATGATACTGTGGAGTAGGAGGAAGTGATAGGTTACTCAGTGAAATTTTGCACAACTAATTAGCACATTCATCAACTGACCAATTAGTGGCAAAATTAATTTAACAGTCAAAATATAACAAGACAATAACTGTAGGTGCATGATGTGAAAAGGGATAAAAATAGGAAATGAAGGTAAAACTGGAGTATCGTGGAACTATTTAAAGTATCATCTAGAGAACAACACAACAGAAATACAATATTTTAGAATAGATTAGAACAGATTAGTACAGAGTTGAGTAAAATACAGTAGAGTAGAGTGGACTTGAGTGGAGTAGAAAAAAGTTGCATTGAGCAAAAAAAAATTTCAGAGTAGAACAATGTTGAGTAAAAGAGAATGAAGTACAGTTGAGCACAGCATAATATAACAGAGTAGAATAAAGTTGAGAAGAGTAGAATAAAGTAAACTAAATATACTATAATTGAGTTGAGTTGAGTTGAATAGAAAATGGTCTAAATAGAGTAGAATAAGTTAAAGTTGGCATATAATACTAGAGTTAGAACAATTCAATAAAGTAGAACAGAATAAAGTTACGTAGAATACAGTTGAACAAGTAGAGATGAAAGTACTAGAATATATCATATAACACGGCCGAAAAGAATAAAGTATAATTCAGTGAAAAAGAATGGATATAATATAAAAGGTAATAATAAAATACAAATATAGTAGAGTAGAATTCAGTAAACTTGAAGATAATTGTTGTTTAGAACAATAGAACTATAGAATGTATAGAAAAGTAGAATAAAGAGTAGATAAAGTGAACTAAAATAGATTTGAGTAGAAAATGAAAGAAGGGCGGGACTGGGGGTGGGGTTTTTTTGTAGGTGGTTATACATGATGATACTGTGGAGTAGGAGGAAGTGATAGGTTACTCAGTGAAATTTTGCACAACTAATTAGCACATTCATCAACTGACCAATTAGTGGCAAAATTAATTTAACAGTCAAAATATAACAAGACAATAACTGTAGGTGCATGATGTGAAAAGGGATAAAAATAAGAAATTAAGGTAAAACTGGAGTATCGTGGAACTATTTAAAGTATCATCTAGAGAACAACACAACAGAAATACAATATTTTAGAATAGATTAGAACAGATTAGTACAGAGTTGAATAAAATACAGTAGAGTAGAGTGGACTTGAGCGGAGTAGAAAAAAGTTGCATTGAGCAAAAAAAAATTTCAAAGAGTAGAACAATGTTGAGTAAAAGAGAATGAAGTACAGTTGAGCACAGCATAATATAACAGAGTAGAATAAAGTTGAGAAGAGTAGAATAAAGTAAACTAAATATACTATAATTGAGTTGAGTTGAATAGAAAATGGTCTAAATAGAGTAGAATAAGTTAAAGTTGGCATATAATACTAGAGTTAGAACAATTCAATAAAGTAGAACAGAATAAAGTTACGTAGAATACAGTTGAACAAGTAGAGATGAAAGTACTAGAATATATCATATAACACGGCCGAAAAGAATAAAGTATAATTCAGTGAAATAGAATGGATATAATATAAAAGGTAATAATAAAATACAAATATAGTAGAGTAGAATTCAGTAAACTTGAAGATAATTGTTGTTTAGAACAATAGAACTATAGAATGTATAGAAAAGTAGAATAAAGAGTAGATAAAGTGAACTAAAATAGATTTGAGTAGAAAATGAAAGAAACAGTGTATGATAATATGACTGGCATAATAGCATAGTGTTATAGAATAATAGAAAAGATTTGAGAAGAACTGAATAAAGTAGAATACTACAGAACAGAGCTGAGTAGACTTGACTAGAGTAAACAACTGAACAGAGTGGAATAGAAAAGGATAGAAGAAAAATAAAAGTTGAGTACTGGAAAAGAATACATTTGATTAGAGTACAATAAAACAAATGGAGAATAAAAGTTTTGAATAAAGCAGAATAGAATAGAAAAAAATAGAATATAATACAGTTGAGTAGAGTAGAATAGTTAAAATAGTTTAGTACAGAAACAAATAAAAAACAATGTCATGAAATAGAATTGTGTAGAGCGGAAACAAGTAGAAGAGTGTTAGGTAGACACTGTAATGTCACAGTATAGTAGAGCATGTTTAGAGTAGATTATTGTGAAGTATTGCAGAGCAAAACTACAACAGGAGTTTAGAATTACTGTCCCAATATCATCCATCTATTTCTGCTCTCTCTGTTCTTCCTGCCTGTGTTGCTTAGAATAGCACAGCTGCTGGAGAAGACTAAACACTGTGTATGTGTGTGTGTGTGCGTGTTCAGAGACTAAACAGTGGCAGTCCATTTTCTTACAGCTCCCTCATTTCCTGCTTTTGGCAGGAGCAGGTTAGTGCAAGCCCAGGCACACACACAAGCACACACATTACACCTGAATACATGAAGGGAACGGATTAGATCGGAAGATCTCTCTTTTGCTTTATGACATCTGAGCGAACGAGAGTGTGTGTGCCAAAGTGCGTCTGTTTTAGATTACAGCACTGCAAGAAGATCATGCCGTCTTTTAACAGCTCTCTCACACACAGAAGGGATGTGGAACAGGTTTGTGACTCCACTCCGTGCATGGTTAGTGCGAGCCCAGAGACACGCGCGCACACACACACACACACACACACACACACACACACACACACACACACACTACTCCTGAACACATGAAGGGAACGGACTAGATTGGAAGATCTCTCTTTTGCTTGACATCTGAGCGTACGAGAATGTGTGTGTCAAAGCACATCTGTTTTAGATTACAGAACTGTAAGAAGATCATGCGCTGTCTTTTAACAGCTCTCTCACACACAGAAGAGATGTGGAGCAGTTTTTTGACTCCGCTACGTGCATCTGAATCTATGTAAACTGGGTCACGGTGCATGTGGAAAGTAGGCCAGGCTTTCTCTTTAAACTATTACGGCACTCGAGCTGGGCACTGTGTGTGCTTGTTCTCACCTGTGTGTATGAGTCTGTGTCATGTGTCAAGCGTGTATGTGTGTGTTCTCTGACCCACCCAGTCCTGCGTTTTATTTCTAAAGCCTTTCCTCTCACTCTCTCTTTCTGTGACAAATGGCAAACCACAGGTCAAATAGCCCAAAACATCCACCCACCTGGAGCCCTTTAAACTACAGTCAGATGTGATTTTCCAAGCTGGAACAATCTGGAATTTTTTCTCTTATCACACACTATACTGTAAAAGCATTGAGATTCTCATGGTCAAATATAAATGTTCATCCTGTCTACTTTTAAATAAAAACAATAATATTATTAGAATTTGAAACAATGCGATTTCAATTGTTCCTTTCTCTTTGAAGTGTTACAAGCTCTTGGTGCATAAAGAAGATCTGTAAAGTTGCAAAGACTCAAGTCTCAAATCCAAAGAGATATTCTTTATAAAAGTTAAGAGTCAACCACGCCTACCTAAAACGGCTCATTCTAACACGCCCCCACATGTCTACGTCACAATGTGGGAAGATTTGCATAACGTCGCCCAAATGTTCACGCAAAGAAAGAAGGCGTAACTTTTATTTTCGCTGTAGTATTGTTGCCGCCGCCGCTGCTATGTCGTGAAGACGCTGTGTTTCGTTGTGAAAGCGAAACTACTTTGTTTGGCCTTCCAAAAGAGGATGATATCCGCTTCGTCATGCCTAGAGCTGATCTGTTCTGGTCGCTGAGGAAATACATCAACTTCGCGCTGTGGATCGTTGGATCGGCTTTCACCGTGGACGAAGCAGAGTCCAGCCCGGGGTCGTCATATGGGGTTGCCGCAAGCCCGCTCCTTCGTCGAATCCGCCGGCCGCGCCGTTCTCAAGCTCACCGGCCTCCTCTCACTCAGTCCGCCGGCCGTTCCTCACTCTAGCCGCTGGCCTCCGCTCACTGTAGGCCGCCACCGTCGCCGCGTGTGACGCTGTGTTTCGTTGTGAAAGCGAAACTACTTTTGTTTACGACTAGAAATCAGTGGTTAAGTTGTATTTACAACACTGTTCCAGAACAGTTTAACCCAAATATTCAGATGTCTGCAGCACATTTTATGGAGGACTGTTTCCTGATCCTGGGAGAGTAGACTACAATGCCGGCAGTTCTGACTCACAGAATTTACCTATTTAAAGAATTTGCCACTGATGATTCTAACGCGAGTTTTGGGCAGTGTAGAGTAGCGCTTGTTAGTCATTTCTCCGATCACAAATGCAGACATGGTTTTATGTTACGCCCCGGTTCCGTCACACGCTTGAGGTATTCGGCCAATCACAATGCACTGGATAGCTGGCCAATCAGAGGACACCTCGCTTTTCAGACCGATGAGCTTTGCAAAAATCGACGCGTTTCAGAAAGGCGGGGCATAGAGAAGAAACAATAATGTACAGTATGTGGAAAATAATGTTTTTTGAACCTTAAACCGCATAAACACATTTCATTACACCAAATACACAAAATAATGTTCTTTTTAGCAACATTATATGACCCCTTTAAATTTTTTATGTGATGGAAAAGCTGAATTTTCAGCAGCTATTATACTTCAGTCTTCAGTGTCACATTATCTTTTTAGAAACCATTGTAATATGCTGATTTGGTGATCAAGAAACATTTATTATTATTGTTGTTTAAAACAGATGCGCTGTCTAATATTTTTTGTGGAAAATGTGATTTTCTTTTCATACATTTAATAAATAAATATTTTTTTTTAGCATTTATCTGATATAGAAATCTTGTTTAACATTATAAATGTCTTCACTGTCACTTTTAATCAGTGATGGGCAAACTTGGCCCTTCCAGGCCACTTTCCTGCAGAGATTTGATCCAACCCTGATATGACTCACCTGCCTGTATAGCCTTCTAGAAGATAATGATTAGCTGGTTCCGGTGTGTTTGATTAGGGTTGGAGCTAACCTCTGAAGGAAAGCGGCCTGGAAGGGCCAAGTTTGCCCACCCCTGCTTTTGATAAATTTAATGCGTATTTCCTGAATAGAAGTATCAAAGAAGACATATTATGCCCATTTTTACAATATGTAATATAAGTCTCTGGTGTCCCCAGAATGTGTCTGTGAAGTTTCAGCTCAAAAATCTCCACAGATAATTTATTATAACATTTTGAAAATGTCTATTTTGAGTGGAAGCAGAAACGCCTGTTTTTCATGCCTGTTTCTTTAAATGCAAATGAGCTGCTGCTCCCCGCCCCCTTTTCCAGAATAGAGCTAGGCCATTACAGCTCG